AAATCAACAAATCCTCAAATCTTCGAACTCACCAAATCATCAAATCCCCAAATCCTCAAATAGTCAAGTAATCAAATCCTCAAATCTTAGAAATCATCAAATCCTCAAATTGTCAAATTATTAAACCCTCAAAATCTTCGAAATCTCCAAATTATCAAATCATCAATTCACCAAATCCCCAAATACTAAAATCCTCAAATGCTGAAATCATCAAATCCTCAAATCTTCATCCTCAATTCCTCAAATCTTCGAAATACTTAAATCACTAAATCCTCTTATCCTCAATTTTTTGAAATCCTCAAATCACCACATGTTCAAGTCCTCAGATCAACAAATACTCAAGTTTTCAAATCAACAAACCTTCAAATTACCAATTCCTCAGACCTCAAATCACCAAATCTTCAGATTCGCAAATCACCAAATCATTAAAAATCCAAATCTTCAAATCCTTAAATCCCCGAAATCTCCAAATCACCGAATTATTAAGTCTATCCTCGAAATTTTCAAATCAACAATTCCTCAAATCCTCGAATCTCCAAATCATCAAATCATCAATAGATCCCCGAAATGCACAAATCTTCAAATCCCCAAATCCTCCTCAAGATTCGCACATCCTCAAATATTCAAATCCACAAATCTTCAAATCCTCGAATCTTCAAAATCCTGAAATCACCAAATCCTCAAATTCCTTAAATCACCAAATGCTCAAGTCACCAAATCCACAGATTCTTAAATCACCAAATATTTAAATCTTCAAATCATAAAAGTATCAAATCCACAAATCCTCGAGTTACCAAATTCTCATCATCATTATCGTCGATTCTTCAAATCTTCGAAATCCTCAAATCACGAAATTATCTTAAGCTCAAATTCTTGAAATCCCCAAACCACCCAATCAGAAAATTCTCAAATCACCAATTGATCAAATCACCAAATTCTCAAATCCTCAAAATCCTCAAATCAACAAATCCTCAAATTCTTGTCATCAAATTCTCAAATTTTCAAAATCACCAAATCACCAAATTCTCAAATTTTCTAAGTACCAAATCCTCAAATTTTCGAAATAACCAAATCCTCAAATCCTCAGATCAACAATTTTTCAAATAGTCAAGTAATCAAATCGTCAAATCATCAAATCCTCAAATCTCAAAATTACCGAATCCTCAAATACTAGAATTCACCAAAACCCCAAATCCTAAAATCCTCAAATCACCAAATTTTCAAATCCTCAAATCCTCAAATCCTCGAGTTACCAATTCCTCAAATCACTAAATCCTCTTATCCTCAAATTTTCAAATCAACAAACCTTCAAATTACCAATTCCGCAAACCTCAAATCACCAAATCCTCAAATCACCAAATCTCAAGTTCTCAAATCACCAAATCGTAAGATCCTCAAATCTCAAACCACGAAATCATTTAAAAATCCAAATCTTCAAATCATCAAATCCTCGAAATTCCTAAATTGCAACTCCCCAAATCCTCAAGATCCTCAACTCAACTAATCCTCAAATCCTTCTCCGAAATCCTCCAATCGTCAAATCCTCGAATCCCTAAATCACCAAATCAACAAATTCTCGAATCTCTAAATCACCAAATCAAATCTATCATCGAAATCCTCACATCATCAAAATCTTCAAATCACCAAATCCTTAAATGGTTATATCATCAAATCACCAAATCTTCAAATCGTCAAATTACCAAATCCTCGAAACCTCAAATCACCAATTCCTCAAATCCCAAGTTCCTCAAATCGTCAAATTACCAAATCTTCAAATCTTCGAAATCCTCAATTCAACAAATCATCAAACCATCTAATCCTCAAATCACTAAATCTTCTTATCCTCAAATTCTTAAAATTCTCATCTCACCAAATGCTCATTTCCTCAAATTACCAAATCCTCAAATTCTCAAATCAACAAAGCTTCAAATTACCAATTTCTCAAACCTCAAATCACCAAATCTCAAGTCCTCAAATCACCAAATCCTCAGATCCTGAAATCCTCAAATTCCCGAAACCCTCAAATCACCAAATAATCAAGTCCTCAAAACCTCAAATCCCCAATTCCTCAAATAACCAAATACTAAAACACTCAAATTATCAAATCCTCAAATACTTAAACACCAAATCCTCCAATTATCAAATCCTCAAATTCTCGTGGTACTAAATCCTCAAATCCTCAACTTTTCATCATCAATTCACAAATTTTCGAAATGCTCAAATCACCAAATCCTTAAATCCCTATATTACCAAATCCTCAGATCACCAAATCTTCAAATTTTCAAATCCTCGAAATCTTCAAATCACCAAATCCCCAAATTCTCAAATTGTCGGGTTACTAAATTCTCAAATCGTCAACTCTTCATCTTCAATCCACAATTTTTCGAAATAATCAAATCGCTAAATCCTTAAATCACCAAATCCTCAAATCATCAAATTTTCGAGTTAATAAATCCTCAAATCCTCAACTCTTCATCCTCAAATCACCAAATGCTCAAATCATCAAATTCTCATATTCTCAAGTTACTAAATCCTCAAATCCTCAACTCCTCATCCTCAATTCACAAATTTTCAAAATACTTGAATCAGCAAATCCTCAAATCCTCAATTCACCAAATCCTCAAATCCTCAAACTTTTGAGTTACTAAATCCTCACATCCCCAACTCTTCATCCTGAATTCGCAAATTTTCGAAATATTCAAATCTTCAAATTCTCAAATCCTAAATCATCAACTCCTCAAATTCTGAAGTTACTAAATCCTCAAATCCTCAATTTTTCATCCTCAATTCACAAATTTTCGAAATACTCAAATCACCAAATCCTCACATCCTCAAATCACCAAATCCTCAAATCAACAAATCCTCAAATTGTCAAGTCATAAAATCTTAAAATCTTTCTAAAACATCAAATCCCCAAATCCCCAAATGCCCAAATCCTCAAAATCTTCAAATCAACAAATCCTCAAATTGTCAAATCATTAAATCCTCAAATCATCGAAATCACCAAATCCTTAAATTGTCAAATTACTAAATCCTCAAATTCTGAAAATCAAATCATCAAAACCTCAAATCACTAAATCCCCAAATCCTCAAATTTTTTAAACCATCGTATCACCAAATTCTCAAATCGTCACATTACAAAATTCTTAAATTCTCGAAACCACCAAATCACCAAATCAATAAATCCTCAAATAGTCAAGTCATCAAATCCTCAAATCTTCTAAATCCTCAAATCCCCAAGCTACCAAATCCCCAACTCATCAAATCACTAAATCCTCTTATCATCAAATTGTTGAAATCCTCAAATCACCAACTCTCAAGTCCTCAAATCACAAAATCCTCAAGTTCTCATATCAACAAACCTTCAAATTACCAGTTCTTCAAACCTGAAATCACAAAATCACCCAATCTCAAATCACCAAATTTTCAGATCATCAAATCCTCAAGTCACCAAATCATTAAAAATCCAAAACTTCAAATCCTCAAATCCTCAAATATTCAAATCTTCGAAATTCTCGAATCACCAAATCCTGAAGTGCTCAAATCAACAAACCTTCAAATTACCAGTTCCTCAAACGGCGAATCACCATATCCTCAAATCACCAAATCTCAAGTTTTCAAATCCTCAAATCACCAAATCATTAAAAATCCAAATCCTCAAATCCTCGAAATCCTCAAATATTCAATTCCTCAAATCTTCGAAATCCTCAAATCACCAAATGGTCAAGTCACCAAATCCTCAAATAGCCAAATATTTAAATCTTCAAATCCTCGAATTCTCAAATCACCACATTCTTAAATTGTCAGATTCTTCAAAACTTCAAATCCTCAAATCACTAAATCCGTTCCAGATTCCTATATTATTATATACTTATATTAATGAAATGGGCGCAGACTTGTGTTTCTTGCGAAAATTTCCTATAAAATATCTATAGATATAGAAGAATAAAAACGGATATAGAAGGATATAGAAGGATATAGATGGACATGGGAAAATTCAGACAGAAATAGAGGAAAGGACGGATATAATAGACGGGTATAGACAGATGTGGGAAAATGTAGATGGAAATAGAAGGATATAGAAATATATATAATGTGATACAAGGATATACAATAGATAGAGGGATATGGAACGATATAGAAGATATAGACGGATATGGAAAGATATAGAAAAGATGCGGACGAATATAATAGATTGATATGAAAGGATATAGAAAGATACAGAGCGATTTAGAAGAACATCGATTGATACCGACGCCTATTAACAGATATAGATGGATATGGAAGGAAACAGACGGATATAGAAAGGCATAGAAGCACCAATTTTTGGGTCTGAGAAAATTTCTGATGAGATAGACGTCTTTCCAGACCGATTTGAGTACTTTTAAGAAGACGATAAAAAGCAAACAAAAAAGTTCAAAAAAGGAGGGCACGAAACAAATGACAAAGAAATTGATTAAAAAAGACGGTTAAAAAGAGCACAAAAATTGACCACAAAAAATGCACCAAAAAAAGATGAAGCAAGAAACGACGAGAGAAAAAAAAAGAAAAAAAAGCCAAAAAAAACATTAAAAGCAAAAGATGACAAAAAATAAAAAAGGGAGCTAAACAAACAAAATAAGTGGCGAAATATATTTCCAAAAAAATCACTAAAAGAGTGAAAGAAAGGCGACAAGAAAGGTGATTAAAAAAGGGAACAAAAACAGCGACAAAAAAGGGAACAAAAGAAAAAAACGAAGAAAAGGGGGACTAAATAAACGACAAAAAATATAAGGCTGAAAAAACTGTGTAAAAAAAAAAACGAAAAAAAAAGCAACCCAAACTTGAACCCAACCCGAGCATTTTTTCAAATCTATGCAAACTCGACCCTCGTTCCACTTAGTCGGCACCGACATAAACAAAGAGAAAAAACGCCATTGAGTCACAATAGGTGCCACATGAGTGAACAACCCATACCGAATATCCGTCGCACGTCCAGTAAAAACCCATCCGCGCCATGACAACCATGCCGATCCTGTCCGACATTCTGCGCTTTCTGTGCCTGTGCGTGGTGATCGAAAAGGGATCATGGACGCCCGCCAGGACCATCCCCACCAAGAAGAAGACGCCCATCAAGCCCGAGTGGCTCAAAGAGTGGACCATCAGCAAGGGCTGGGTGCACAACCGGTCGCACCTGCTCACCCTCGGCCAGGACAAAAAGGACGAAGAGAGCAGCTCCGTCTCGACGGACGACATCGAAGAGCTGATCTCCTTGGAGCATCAAGACGAAGAGGAAGATCTGAGTCTGGTGTTCCACCAAGTGTCCGAAAACTACCGCGAGAATTTTCCGGAAAACCCGGCCAGGTACACCGATCTCCAGCTCCCCACGATCTACAAAGAGCGTCTTCTTCTGGCGAAGGAAGAAAGCTACTTGAGCCGGATGTGGAAGATGCTCAAACCCAAGAAGAAGACCAAGACGTATGAGTGCAAGTTCACGGTGAACCAGTTGTACGAGCCCCAGAATTTCCGCACCAAGACGGAATCGTCAAAGAAAACCCGGACCAACACTTTGGGGAAAAATATAGCTCTGTACAACACGCTGAACTCCAAGACGAACTTGCACGAAGAGCCGATCTACGAGTGTTCGGAGGAGAGTATTAGTGTGTACAACAACCCCATCTACGCCCCCTTGACTCGCTACTACGACTTCCACTCCAACCATCTGCCCGAGTCCTGTTTCAACTACCAGAGGCATTCCGTGCGGAAATCACGTCTTCGGACCGAAAAATACATAATAAGGCATATCAAAGTCAGAATAATGTTGTCGTTGCGAATTGGTAATTTCAAGAAACGCTACAAGAAGAAGGGCGACGAGGTGGCACGGACTCACGACGAACAAAGGAGGATCGGTAATGGACGGACTTCGATTAAGATACAAAATCTGAGGTTAGGTTTGTTTTAACTGTAAGTGCGAGTTTAATTTAACAATTGGGTGGGCACGGAGCGGAACTGCTTCCGTTGGTGGGGGGGTGGGGGGTGATGGTAATTTCTCTCGACGTGTGTTGGGAAATGGGCTGAAAGTGGGGCGCTGCGGAGATGGTCGAGGTGTTGTTTAATTAGGAAAATTGCGACAGGTTGAGGATGCAGCTAATTGAATTATATTTAGTAGTATGGTAGTACCAAAACCATAAAAAATGGTTCAAGGTTATTTCGACAGAACTTCCCTCGCTCTTGAAGTATACACCCCAACTTTGAAGAATTCTAAATTGATATAAAAATTTAATTACGCCTCAAAACTAACACCAGTTCCTAATTGGCAATTATCCGGCCTCCGCCACCGGCTTATTCACCGCCGATCGCAACCGCCTCTTAGCTCGGCATTCATATGCACGAAGGCTGCGTTTGGATTTCCTAATTAAGTCGGATGCCTGTGCCGTTACGAGGCTTCTGTTTCTGTTTTCGAGATGCAGTGTACCATCGACCGGCCCATGGAACGGTTCGATGGTGGTTTCCGAGAGCGCGAGTGCAAGAGCACCATGAGTGATGCGTAAGCGTACCATGTGTTCGTGTTGGCATCTACCGTTGAGATCGCCAAGAGAAGTCACGGTATGTTGGGGGTGGGTTGGGGTTTTGCCACCTGTGGGTGCTTGCGGAGTTAATTATAAATAAATAGAAGGAACGGAGTTAATTACGGAATTTTCCGGGTGATTGGATGCCGTGGCGTGTTGAGGTATGAAGTGAAACATGTGTTGGGTGATGTTGATGAGATGGCGAATAGGAAGACGTTCGTGATAATTGAAGGTCACGGAGAATTTTTTGTTGAGTTTTTTTGAGTTGGGTCGAAATCGGTTGATGGGTTTCTAGTGGTAACAGTAGTAACAGGCTTCAGGATACGACAAATAAATGTGAAAAATAAAATTGAATCGATAATCGTTATAATAAAAATTTTTCCAATTTTGAAAAAGTAAAATTACAGTTATATTTATTTGGAAACTTGAAGAAACATGATGGTAAAAATTATTTCTAGACTTAAAAATGTTGATAGATTCGTCGATAATTCATTTTCCTGTTTTCAAAATTGCCGATTTTAAGTGCCGTAAACACAACTTACTATCAAAATTTTTCGATTTTACAATTTTTCAATTTCTTGTAACCCAAGTTTTCAAGTTCGTGATTTTGATTTTTCAATTTCTCGATTTTTTAATTTTTATTTTCTCGATTTTATGTCATAAATTTTCATTTTTTCATTTCCTTTGTTTTTACAATGTTTTTTCGATTCGTTTCTGCAGTTTTTCAAATTTTTTATCTTTGATTTTTCAATTCCTCGATTTTTCATTTTTAAAATTTTCAGTTTTAAAATTTTTGGATTTACAATTATCCGATTTCCAGATTTCTTTAATTTTCAATTCGATTTTAATTTTCTCAGTTTATAATCTTTCGATTTTTCAATTTTTTCTTTGTTCAGTTAAAAAAAAATTGTAAAAATAAAAATCGAAAAACTGAAAAGTCGAATAAATGGAAACATTTTTAAATCCAATAATTGAAAAATTCGAAAATCGTAAAATTAAAAACTGAAAATTTTAAAAATGATTATATTAATGAAAACTAGAAAAATTAAAAATCACAAAATTGAAGAAAATTTCACGTTGATAAAAAGAAAAATTATAAATCAGGGCACTGAAAAATCGAAAAACTGAAAATAAAAAATTGCAAAAAGATTGTACCAGTTTTAAATAACCAAAATTTCAATTACATTTTTAATAAATTTGGAAACTCGAAATGACAAAAAAAATGTTTAAACTTTAAAAAGTTGAAAAGTAGTCGTAGTCCATAATTGATTTTCCTATTTTCAAAATCGCTGATTTTAGGTGCCACAATTTTTCAGTTTCGCAGTTTTTCTGTACCTATTACAATTTTTCAATACTTCGATTTTTTGTTACTTCAATTTTTCAAGTTATTGATTTTGATTTTTCATTTTATCGAATTTTTAATTTTTATTTTCTCGATTTTATGTCACAAATTTTCGTTTTTTCATTTCCTTTATTTTTTTATGTTTTTTCGATTTAATAATTATTCATTTATTTAGTTTTTCAATTCCTCGATTTTTAAAGTTTTCAATTTTAAAATTTTTGGATTTCCAATTATCCGATTTACAGATTTCTTTAATTTGCAATACTTCGATTTTACAATATATATTTCGTTTTTTCGGTTTTTATTTTTCCCAATTTTTAATATTTTCAATTTTTTCTGTATTCAGTTTTTGGATTTTTCGAAGTTTTCATTTTACAGTTTTTTTTTTTATAATTTTTAAACTATAAATTTACAATTTTGTAATTATTACATGTTTGAAATGAAAATTAGGAAAAATTGCAAAACGAAATTGAAAAATTAAAAATCGAAAAACTGGAAAGTCGCGTAAATGAAAAAGTTTTTAAATCCAATAATTGAAAAATGAAAAAATTCAAAAATCGTGGAATTCAAAAAGTGAAATTTTTAAAAAAATATTATATTTATTACATATATAAAATGAAAACTAGAAAAATTGAAAGTCTAAATTGAAGGAATGAAAAGTTGAAAGATCATGAAAATGAAAACTTTTAAATTGAAAAAAAAAAACTAATAATTAAAAAATCTAAAAGTTGAAAAATTTCACGTTGATGAAAAGAAAAATTATAAATCAGGGCATTGAAAAACCGAAAAACTGAAAACAAAAAGAAAATAAAAAATCGAAACGAATAATTGCAATTTTTCGATTTTACAATTTTTCATCTTTCACTTTTCAAGTTTCACAATTTTTCGTTTCATCAATTTTTCAAGATCTGGATTTTTTTCATATTCCTCATATTTTTATTTTAATTTTCTCGATTTTATATAACAAATTTTCGTTTTTTCATTTCCTTTATTTTTTGATTGTTTTTTCGATTTTATAATTATTGGTTTATTCAGTTTTTCAAATTTTCAATTTTAAAATTTTTGGAATTCCAGTTATCCGATTTCCAGATTTCTTCAATTTTCAGTACTTCGATTTTTCAATACATTTTCCGTTCTTTCGATTTTTAACATTCACAATTTTTAATCTTTCGATTTTTCAATTTTTCCTTTATTCAGTTTTTACAGTTTTCGAAGTTTTCATTTTACAGTTTTTCTTTTTTTAATTTTTGGACTTTCAATTTTACAATTTTGTAATTATTACATGTTTGAAATGAAAATTAGAAAAATTGCCAAAGCCAGAAATTTTCAAATCTTGAAATCGGAAATCGAAAAATTGCAAAATTGGAAATTTTAAAATGGGTGAAATTGCAAAATCTAAAAATTAAAACACCCAAAAGTTGGAAAATGGAAAAACTGAAAAATTTTAAAATGAAAACTCGAAGGGTTGCTTGAAAACTAGAAAAATTGAAAATCAAAAAGTGAAGAAACGAAAAATTGAAAAATCATGAAACTGAAAAATCTGAAATTGAAAAAATAAATAATTAAAAAATCTAAAAGTTGAAAAATTGAAAAATTGAAAACCGAAAAATTGCAAATCGAAAAATTGAAAAATCCAAAAATTGAAAAATGTCATTAAATGAAAAAGTTTTTAAATCCAATAATAATTGAAAAATGGAAAAATTCAAAAATCGTAAAAGTGAAAATTTTTAAAAATAATTATATTTATTAGATATTTAAAATGAAACTGGAAAAATAAAAAAAAATGAAGAAACGAAAAGTTGAAAGATCACGAAACTGAAAAATCTAAAATTGAAGAAAGGAACCATTAAAATTGAAAAATCCAAAAATTGAAAAATTTTACGTTGATAAAAAGAAAAATTATACCTCAGGGTATTGAAAAACCGAAAAATTGAAAACAAAAAGAACATAAAAAATCGAAACGTATAATTCCAAAAAAATTGTTCCAGTTTAGAGAAAACAAAATTTCAATTACATTTTTAATAAATTTGGAAACTCGAAATGACAAAATAAAAGTTTAAACTTAAAAAAATAAAGTAGTCGATATTGATTTTCCTATTTTCAAAATTGCTGATTTTAAGTACCACAAGAGAACTTTGCAATTTCGTCGATTTTCAAATTTCACAATTTTTCAATTTTTCGTTTTATCAATTTTTCAAGATCTGGATTGTTTTTCATATTCCCAACTTTTTTATTTTCATTTTCTGGAATTTATATATGCACCACAATTTTCCGTTTTTCCATTTTTTTTCATTTTTCATTTTTCAATGTTTCGATTTCATAACTTTTCGTTTTTACAACTTTGGTTTTTAAAATTTTTCCATTTTTCGATTCGCAATATTTCAAGTTTTTGATTTTGGTTTTTCATTTTCTCGAGTTTTTAATTTTTATTTTCTCGACTTTATATTACAAATTTTCGTTTTTTCATTTCCTTTATTTTTTCAATGTTCTTTCGATTTTATAATTCAGTTTGTCAAATTTTCAATCTTTGATTTTTCAATTCCTGGATTTTTTAATTTTTTAAATTTTCAATTTTAAAATTTTTTGATTTCCAATTATCCGATTTTCAGATTTCCTTAATTTTCAATACTTCGATTTTACAATACTTATTTCGGTTTTTTCGATTTTTAATTTTCTCAATTTTTAATCTTTCGATTTTCCAACTTTTCCTGTATTCAGTTTTTGGATTTTTCGAAGTTTTCATTTTACAGTTTTTCTTTTTTTAATTAATTTTACAATTTTGTAATTATTACTGTTTGAAATGAAAATTGGAAAAATCGAAAATTTTTGCAACTCGTGAAATTGCTAATCGAAAAATTGCAAAATCTAAAAATTAAAACACCCAAAGTTGGAAAATGGAAAAATTGAAAAATTATGAAGTCGAATAAATGAAAAAGTTTTAAAATCCAATAACTGAAAACTGGAAAAAATCAAAAATCGTAAAAGTGAAAAATTTTAAAAATGATTATATTTATTACACATTTAAAATGACAACTAAAAAAATTGAAAATCAAAAATTAAAAACTTAAAAAAAATTGAAAAAGTAGTCGATAATTGATTTTCCTAATTTCAAAATTGCGGATTTTAAGTGCCACAAACAGAACTTTTTAATTTTTCAGTTTCGAAATTTTTCGACTTTACAATTTTTCGTTTCATCAATTTTTCAAGTCTGGATTTTTTTTCAAATTCGAGATTACAGTTTTTCGTTTCGATTTTTGAATTTTTCGTTAGCTCAATTTTTCAAGTTTTTGATTTTGATTTTTCATTTTCTCGATTTTTTTATATTTATTTCCTCGATTTTGTATTACAAATTTTCGGTTTTCATTCAGTGATTTTCAATTTTATTCGTTCATTCAGTTTTTCAAATTTTCAATCTTTGATTTTTCAATTCCTTGATTTTTGGATTTTTGGATTTTTGGAATTCCAGTTATCCGATTTTCGGATTCCTTTAATCTTCAATACTTCGATTGTTCAATATATTTTCCGTTCTTTCGTTTTTTAATATTAACAACTTTTAATCTTTCGATTTTTCAATTTTTCGTTTATCCAATTTTTAGATTTTTCAAAATTTTCAGTTTACAGTTTTCCTTTTTTTAATTTTTTAACTAAATTTTACAATTTTGTAATTACTACATATTTGAAATGAAATTTAGAAAAATTGCAAAATCTAAAAATTAAAACACCCAAAAGTTGGAAAATGGGAAAACTGAAAAATTTAAAAATGAAAACTCGAAGTGTTGCACGTCGTAAAACTGAAGAAACAAAAAAATGAAAAATCGAAAAATATAAAATTTAAAAATCGAAAAATTGAAAAACCGAGGAATCGAAATTTCAAAAAATTAGACATTGAAGATTCGAAAAAGCCCAAAACTGAAAAATGCAAAAACGTAAGATCGAAAAGTCGAAAAATCAAAATCAGAATCGCAATACTGGAAAATCCCAAAACTGGAATGTGGAAAAATTGAAAAATCGGAGAAAAATTGGATCATCGAAAAATTGAAAAATCGAGGTATCTAAACATAAAAAAATTGAAAAACTGAAGAATTGAAATATTGAAAAATTCCAAATCAGAAACATCGAAAATTGAAAACTCTAGAAATCAAAGTCAAAAAATCGAGAATGTAAAAACAGAAAATTTTAAAATCAAAAACCTAAAAAATCGAAAAATTGGATAATTGAAAAACTGGAAAACCAAAAATCGAGAAATGGGAAAATCAAACAATCGGGAAAGCGAAAAGTTGAAAACTTAGAAATACCAAAAAATAAAAAATTGTAAAAGTGATGAATCGAAAATTGAAAAACCGGAAAAAGAGAAATACATAAATCGAGAAATCGAAAAATTGAAAAGTCGAATAAATGAAAAATGGAAAAAATCAAAAATCGTGAAATTAAAAAAGTGAAAAATTATAAAAATTATTATATTTATGACATATTTAAAATGACAACTAGAAAAATTGAAAATCAAAAATTGAAAAAACGAATAAGTAAAAAATTGAAAAATTAAAAACGGAAAAATTGCAAATCGAAAAGTCCAAAAATTGAAAAATTTCACGTTAATAAAAAAAAATTATAAATTAGGGCATGCTGCAAACCGAAGTTATAATTAAATTTTTTACGATTTTAGAAGACCATAAACTTCAATTACATTTTCAATAAAAATGGAAACTGGAAGAAACATGTTGAACAAGTTCATTTTAAATTTATAAAATTGAAAAAGTCCTAAATAGTCAATTTTTCTATTTTCATAATTGTTGATTTTAAGTGCCGCAAACAGAGCTTATAATTAAAATTTTTCCAATTTCCAAAGATCATAATTTTAATTACATTTTTAATAAATGTGGGAACTGGAAGAAACATGATAACAAAAAAAGTGTTTAAACTAAAAAAAGGTTTAGTGCTGCATTTTCGTAACTCTAAGTTCGCGACAAGTTTACAAAAGAAAACAAAATAACAGCGTTCCACTACATTTCCCCCACTAAAAACGCAACCCATAAACTCAGTTAAACCCATGCAAATCCTGCCGGAAGCCGCATTTCTCGTCCAGCGACAACTTAATTACACTCCAGACACCACGCTTATGACAGCATTTCCCCACATAAAATACGACTCCGCAACATCACATTCCACTTATCCTCCTCAACTCGTACAAATTATCGACTAATCCCCGTTAGCACCCACTAACCATCACGACCCATTAAAACTTAACGACCCGGAACGGCCGGAGGATCCACGCTGGCTTGCGACCTTCGCACCGCATAAACAACGCAACACTCTAATCTGCCCTTACCCAACTTCCAAACCCACATTTCACAAACCCCGTCCAATTAGCACCCAAACGCCGCACCTCGACGCCACAAACCGAACCCAGAACTAAAACCGTTGCAGAACCGGTAAAAATGATTAATTCCGTAAAATATCGCGAAAGCCGATCATCTCGGCTTGCGAAACAGGTGGTTAGTTGGTTTAGTAATCGGGATTAGCTTCTGATGGTAATTGAAGACGTAGCATTTACCATTGTGGGTCGCCGAGATGGAGAAAGCGCACTGGACGCTAATCTAAAGGCCGTAATCTCGATTCGGCATTGTTGGGAGGTCCGAATGGGTTTAGAAAGCCGGGAAAAGTGCAGGATTTTTCTGCCGGGTTTTTGCTGGGCGAAATGGGCAACAGTCGGGAATGAAAGAAAGAGTTTTGAGTGAAACTGAGTCGGGATTTTTGTGGCGAGGTACCGTAAGTAATTTGCATTGCTTATCTGCACTTTCGTTGAAAGGTACTTTGTGTTGGAGGACTATTAATTATCGTTGAGAGCGTTTGTGGCGAATATTCTCAAGATTATTAATGGAATTTATAATGTGTCGAGCATGTGTCTAATAAATAACGTTATGAAAGGAGAATTTACCGAAAGTGAACGTTTTTAACTGTGGCGTGGCTGAAATAATAATGATTTAAAACTAAAACATTACTAAGTTTAAATTTTTCAGTTTTTTTTTTAATCTCAAATCTGCGAATTACTAGTGTTTAATAATTCGGGAGTCGGCAACCAGTAATACACCGGTGCGTATTCGTTGCAGATACGGCCGCCTCAACGTGCTCCGCTGGCTGCTGTGGGAGTCCGAGTTCCGCAACAGCGACAACATGCCGGCGCTGGAGCGCGCCGCCCCCAACAGCACGACGCTGGCGCTGCACTACGCCGCCGCCAGGGGCTGCCTGGACTGCGTCCGCCTCCTCGTGGACTCGACTCCGGAGCTGAGGTAGGCCGGAGTTTCTCCGTTATGCTCTGAATGTGGTAGTTGGGTCTTCGCGCTCGAGATGGGATTCGTTCGACTAATTGGCGCTGTTACCGCCAATTACGACGGATTTATGAGTGTGTGCGATGGCGAGGTGTTGCGTCACAAATGGGATTTTTATTGCGTGCTGATTATGTTGTTTATTGGGACTTCTTGGGCGGCGACGGGCTCTGGGAAGTCGAGTGATGTGGAAACTGGTTGTTAAGAGTCGGGGAAATTGATGGGTTCGTCAATGACATAACTGAATGGAGTAATTTGGTTTTGTAAGGTTGTGGGAAATTGTAGGCTGGGGGCTGGTGGTGCGTGGAAATGGGGAATTCGGACGTGCGGTGTGCGGGGTAACCTGGTTAAAGTTTGGCTATCATAAACCTAGAATAGATTTTCAAGTTAAATAAGTTCAAAAATCAAGAGTCACTGTTGCTATAATTTTTTAAATCATTTTCCAAAAATTTTCAAAAAAAAAAAATTTTAAACGGGCTCTGTTCAAATGGTAAAATGCATTAATTAAGTTAAGGACAATTCTTCCTAGAATGCTTATTAGAAACTAATGTTATTTTTGATACAATTTTTCACCTAATCGAGAAATAAAAGAAAACATATTTTCCAAAATTTCCTCCTCAAGAATGTTAAAATGGCCTTTATTTGAATGAGAAGAAAGTATCAAATTAAGGAGAATTTTTCGTAGGCTGCGTATCTGATATCATTTTTGCTTAACTCCCTCATAACAACTGAGAAAAACTGGAAAACAATTTTTCAAAATTTTTCAAAAAATATTAAAACGGCCCCTATTCCAATGGAAGAAGATTCTAGTTAAAGAAAATTTTTAGCAAATTGAGAATCGGAAGTTATTGCTGCTATAACTCTTCCAACTACCAAAAAAAAAAACGAAAAGCCATTTTCCAAAAATCTTCAAAAAAATTTTTAACCGAGCTCTGTTCAAATGGAAAAATGCATTAATTAAGTTAAGGAGAATTCTTCATAGAATACTTATTAGAGACTAATGTTATTTTTGATACAATTTTTCACCTAATCGAGAAATAAAAGAAGAAATATTTTCCAAAATTTCGTCCTCAAGAATGTTAAAATGACCCATATTTGAATGGGAAGAAAGTATCAAATTAAGGAGAATTTTTCGTAGACTGCGTATCTGATATCATTTTTGCTTAACTCCCTCATAACAACTGAGAAAAATTGGAAAACAATTTTTCAAAATTTTTCAAAAAATATTAAAACGGCCTCTATTCCAATGAAGAAGATTCTAATTGAAGAACATTTTTAGCAAATTGAGAATCGGAAGTTATTGCTGCTATAATTCTTCCAACAACCAAGAACAAAACCGAAAAGCCATTTTCCAAAAATCTTCAAAAACATTTTTAAACGAGCTCTGTTCAAATGGAAAAATGCATTAACTAAGTTAAGGAGAATTCTTCCTAGAATGCTTATTAGAGACTAATGTTATTTTTGATACAATTTTTCACCTAATCGAGAAATAGAAGAAGAAATATTTTCCAAAATCTCGTCCTCAAGAATGGAAATGACCTTTATTTAATTGAGAAGAAAGTATCAAATATAGGAGAATTTTTCGTAGGCTGCGTATCTGATATCATTTTTGCTTAACTCCTTCATAACAACTGAGAAAAACTGGAAAACAATTTTTCAAAATTTTTCAATAAATATTAAAACGGCCTCTATTCCAATGGATGAAGATTCTAGTTAAAGACAATTTTTAGCAAATTGAGAATCGGAAGTTATTGCTGATATAATTCTTCCAACTAGCAAAAAAAAGAAAAGCCATTTCCAAAAATCTTCAAAAAAATTTTTAAACCAGCTCTGTTCAAATGGAAAAATGCATTAATTAAGTTAAGGAGAATTCTTCCTAGAATGCTTATTAGAGACTAATGTTATTTTTGACACAATTTTTCACCTAATCGAGAAATATTCAATTTTCCAAAATTTCGTCCCCAAGAATGTTAAAATAACCTTTATTTGAATGAGAAGAAAGTATCCAGTTAAGGAGAATTTTTCGTAGGCTGCGTATCTGATATCATTTTTGCTTAATTCCTTCATAACAACTGAGAAAAACTGGAAAACAATTTTTCAAAATTTTTCAAAAAATATTAATAACGGCCTCTATTCCAATGGAAAAAGATTCTAGTTAAAGAAAATTTTTAGCAAATTGAAAATCGGAAGTTATTGCTGATATAATTCTTCCAACTACCAAGAATAAAACTAAAAGCCATTTTCCAAAAATCTTCAAAAAAATTTTTAAACGAGCTCTGTTCAAACGGAAAATGCATTAATTAAGATAAGGAGAATTCTTCCTAGAATACTTATTAGAGACTAATGTTATTTTTGATACAACTTTTCACCTAATCGAGAAATAAAAGAAGAAATGTTTTCCAAAATTTCGTCCTCAGGAATGTCAAAATGACCTTTATTTGAATGAGAAGAAAGTATCAAATTAAGGAGAATTTTTCGTAGATTGCATATCTGATATCATTTTTGCTTAACTCCCTCATATCAACTGAGAAAAACTGGAAAACAATTTTTCAAAATTTTTCAAAAAATATTAAAACGAACTTTTTTCCAATGGAAGAAGATTCTAGTTAAAGAAAATTTTTAGCAAATTGAGAATCGGAAATTATTGCTGATATAATTCTTCCAAGTACCAAGAAAAAAACGAAAAGCCATTTTCCAAAAATTTTCAAAACAATTTTTAAACAAGCTCTGTTCAAATGGAAAAATGCATTAATTAAGTTAAGGAGAATTCTTCCTAGAAAGCTTATTAGAAACTAATGTTATTTTTGATACAATTTTTCACCTAATCGAGAAATAAAAGAAGAAATATTTTCCAAAATTTCGTCCTCAAGAATGTTAAAATGACCTTTATTTGAATGAGAAGAAAGTATCAAGTTAAGGAGTTTTTTTTGTAGGCTGCGTACCTGATATCATTTTTGCTTAACTCCCTCATAACAACTGAGAAAAACTGGAAAATAATTTTTCAAAATTTTTTAAAAAATATTAAAACGGCCTCTATTCCAATGGAAGAAGATTCTAGTTAAAGAAATTTTTTACCAAATTGAGAATTGGAAGTTATTGCTGCTATAATTCTAGCCACAACCAAAAAAAAAAACGAAAAGCCATTTTCCAAAAATCTTCAAAAAAAATTTTAAACGAGCTCTGTTCAAATGGAAAAATGCATTAATTAAGTTAAGGAGAATTCTTCCTAGAATACTTATTAGAGACTAATGTTATTTTTGATACAATTTTTCACCTAATCGAGAAATAAAAGAAGAAATATTTTCCAAAATTTCGTCCTCAAGAATGTTAAAATGACCTTTATTTGAATGAGAAGAAAGTATCAAATTAAGGAGAATTTTTCGTAGGCTGCGTACCTGATATCATTTTTGCTTAACTCCCTCATAACAACTGAGAAAAACTGGAAAACAATTTTTCAAAATTTTTCAAAAAATATTAAAACGGCCTCTATTCCAATGGAAGAAGATTCTAGTTAAAGAAAATTTTTAGCAAATTGAGAATCGGAAGTCATTGCTGCTATAATTCTTCCAACAACCAAAAAAAAACGAAAAGCCATTTTCCAAAAATCTTCAAAAAAATTTTTAAACGAGCTCTGTTCACATGGAAAAATGCATTAATTAAGTTAAGGAGAATTCTTCCTAGAATACTTATTAGAGACTAATGTTATTTTTGATACAATTTTTCACCTAATCAAGAAATAAAAGAAGAAATATTTTTCAAAATTTCGTCCACAAGAATGTTAAAATGACCTTTATTCGAATGAAAAGAAACTATCACATTTTTCGGAGATTGCCTATAAGATATCATTTTTACTCAACTCTTTCAAATAACTGAAAAAAGCTGGAAAACAATTTGTCAAAATTTTTCAAAAAAATGTTTAAACGAGCTCTATTCGAATTGAGGAAAATTCTAGGTTAAAGAAAATTCTTCGCAGATTGAGAATAAGACGTCGTTCTTGATATAATTCTTCAAATTACCCTGAAAAATGAAAAATGTTTTTTTTAAATTTTCAAAAAAAAAAAAATTAAACGATCTCTGCTTAAATGGAAAAACGCATTAATTCGGCTAATGACGATTCTTTCTAGTTTAAGAATCTAGTGTTATTTTTGTTACAATTCTCCAACTAATCGAAAAAAAAAAGAAAAAATATTTTCCAAAATTTTTCTCCAAGAATGTTAAAGCGGACTTTATTCGAATTAAACAAAAGTATCAAATTTAGGAGAATTTTTCGTAGATTGCGTACGTGATATCATTTTTGCTAAACTCCCTCATAATAACTGAGAAAAAATGGAAAACAATGTTTCAAAATTTTTCAAAAAAAAATGTTAAAACGAATTCTATTCCAATTGAGGAAAATTCTAGGTTAAAGAAAATTCTTCACAGATTGAGAATCAGACGTTGTTCTTGATATAATTCTTCAAATTACCCTGAAAAATAAAAAATATTTTTCTTAAATTTTCAAAAAAAAAAGTTAAACGATATCTGTTCCAATGGAAAGACCCATTAATTCGGCTAAGGACAATTCTTTCTAGATGAAGAATCTAATGTTATTTTTGTTACAATTCTCCAACTAATCGAAAAAAAAAAGAAAAAATATTTTCCAAAATTTTTCTCCAAGAATGTTAAAGTGGACTTTATTCGAATTAAACAAAAGTATCAAATTTAGGAGAATTTTTCGTAGATTGCGTACGTGATATCATTTTTGCTAAACTCCCTCATAATAACTGAGAAAAAATGGAAAACAATTTTTCAAAATTTTTCAAAAAAAAAATATTAAAACGAGTTCTATTCCAATTGAGGAAAATTCTAGGTTAAAGAAAATTTTTCACAGATTGAGAATCAGACGCTGTTCTTGATATAATTCTTCAAATTACCAAGAAAAATGAAAAATATTTTTCTTAAATTTTCAAAAAAAAATAAAATAA